TATCAAAAGCGTCTATCTTATGCAGGAGAAAGCCGATAAGTAGGAAGGGAAGAAGGAGGGCTGGAGTGTGAAGATCAATAAGTTATGGTTACTTAAGTCCAAAGCTTTGCAAAAATCAGTATATACAACATACGTGCGAGAACCGCTAGAAAAAGCTTTGAAAACATGGCAAGTAAATTCTAAGAGATTCGTAACAGTTGATCTTTCTTTCAGAAAGTCATGCTGGAATGGAGAAATATACGATTTGATAGCTAAAACTTGATACTGGGTAACAATTCGCTGAAATAATTTAGGTAAACTTGGCAGCGTGTCTATAGTGTGATGCCTGTTTCCATATTTGTGAAGCGGAATAAGAAAACTACTCTTGCGACATAGAAAACGTTATGTTTAATAAATTATAGAATGATGATGGAAGGGTTTCAATATTCTCAGCAGAAAAATCGACCGTAATGTGTGAAAGATGAGATTCCAGCAGTAAAATATTAGTTTTATTAAAATCATGATGTTTATTTGAGGAAGTTGTATTTGGCACGCGAGAATGGTTCAACGGACCATCATGCCTGTAATGGAAGGAAATGTGGACAGCGATTTACTGGTATATCCGGGAAATTAAAAAAAACTTAAGCAGTCTGCCATTATGTTTGTATTGAAGTAAATTACCTACAAGTTTTTCTTTCAAAAGCACAATGAAATTGGTGACAATTCAGCCAGAGTTACGACTATAACACCAAGTAACTTGTGACAACTTGAAGCTCCCCAACGCAGGCTTAGACATCACAAGTTCACGAAGCCACATCAGCTCATATAATTTTTACAATTCTTCCTCTTGCTCATACAATTTTTACAATTCTTCCTCTTGCTCAGATAATTTTTAAAATTCTTCCCCATCACAAAAGGGGGCAGCATCTTTCTTATAAATAGAAATATCCACATTTACGGGATTATAGGAACAAGTTTTATTACGTTACAGGCAATTTTCGCCAGAATAGCAATAAATTCAACGTCAAGAAACAATTAATTTTTTGAGGGGGGAAAAACTAGCGAATTAGTGTTACAAGATCGATACCGAAGAATGAATTCCTCTAATAAGGATCCAATTGGTCATAATGGTTTTTTTGACAAACTTTCCATGTTTTTAGTTGGAGCTAACATCTTAAAAGACGAGACAGCTCTATATTGATATGAAGGCAATTTGAATATGCTAACATGCTTCAAATTTTCAGGTTGATACTTCAACTTTGTCGACTTTTTACAAAAGTTTATGACAATTAACAAATCATACGATTTCGCTTGTATACATACAAATAAAACATAGAAAAGTACGCACGAGAAAAATAGTATCTAACACTTTCTTTATGTTATGTGATTGGCCATTTTGGTTTATACCGTGTGGAAAACGGGCAATAAAGACAATTTATTTCAAAGTTGAATTATATTCATAAAAATGTTTTATTAAAGAGTAATAAACGGTAATTTCCAAATTATGGATCAATTAATACCCGAAAATATATGTAATGTGTATATCTAACAATATATCTAATTAATCTGCTTTATCAATAACCAATAAACAAGCTTGTTTACTTCTTCACTAACTTCCTCATTGCTATTTCCCACGAATGTGTTGTTTATGTTTATGTTGATTTTCATTTTTGCTTCTAAACCCACGCTTTCTTGTAAAGCACTACGGTGGCGCAGCTGACGCTTTTCGGAGAGTTTAAAGCAATAAGGAAGATGTCGATTCATTGTGGCAGCCCGCTAATTTATAAATTTATAAAATTTATAATTTACATGTCTCCAACAAATCTGGGAATATAAGGAAAGTTTCTACGAGTAAACGTCAGCAATATGGTAACTTAGAAGGAAATTTATCTACAATTTCCACGTAGTGCAAGGCAGTCCTCATGGCGGTTAACTTTTCCAAACGTTTTCTTTACGTAATGTCACTGTCTGATTTTTGCTTTAGTAGCTGTAAGCACGAACACTTTAATATATAGTTACTTCGATCGAAATATTTTCACAGTAATATCTTTTAAATCCAAGAAAGGCTTCATAAAAAGAAACTTTTCCCTTTTGTTCAACATATTCATTTATCATTTAATATTTGTTTTAACCACTTCAAAGTCGCTCTTTATAAATTATTGACCTTATCTTAGCTATTGTTGAAAAATGCTGTCTATGGACCGCCTTTTTTGGCTGTGAAAAATACGCAGGGGAACGGAAGAATTTTGACATATTGAATATTGAAATATTCAATGTCGGTGCAAATTTCCCTAAAATTTCTTTCATGTTCAAAAACTCAATAATTTGACTTGCTTTAAAGTTATGCGTTTCACTATATATATATAACAGTGCAAGCCAATAATGACAACTTTTTGACACAACACACAAGGATGACATTTTTATATGTGCAGGCAACGCTTTTTTTTGTGCACTTTGCAAGATTTCTTCGTTTCTTATTTAGTAAAAAAAATTTTTTAAAATTCAATTGGATTCCATTTGTTCTTTTTTTTTTTCTTTAAGCGAACTTTGTAAACCCTTCGTTGTTCAAAGTACGAAAAAAATTTGTGTTTTGCACCAACTATTATACAAAAATACTTTTGACGGCAACATTTAATAAAATTATTAGCAATTTGGCAACATATTGTTGAGAAGAGTGGACATGAATGGTATGAATGAATGCGTGTAGACACTAGCCACGTATAAAAATTCTCCCCTTCCAGTGATTGTCAGCAAAAAGCAACTGAACCCCGCTTCAGTATGAATCGTGGATGCCCAACTTAAAAATACACTAGCTAATGTGCTTTGCGTGCCAGGAAGTTGATGTTATAAGGAACATTGTAAGTGGAGTTTTTTTTTTTTAAATAGCTACCGAAGTATGCATATTTAGTTAAAGATTCCTTAGCTCATCGAAACCATAGCAGTGGGCAGGACAGCTTTTACAGAGCTGGAGTTTTTAATGATCTTGTAAAGAGTGCACTGGTTGAGGCTGCTGTCTTTAAGTTGACTCTCGATGGAGACAGACACTCTCTTCGTCCATTTTCCGTATAGAAGCTCTTTTCAAGCTGATATATATACTTCAAAGAGCTACCGAAAAGTACAACAAAAATTTTGTTTGTGTTATGACTTTATTCATCCAGTATCCTGCTTAATATAATGGAATAACAAAGCTACAGTATTTTTGCTTATTATTTCAATTAAGATTATATGTAGTTTGATAAGCATAAGCTCAGGCATTGAATGTACGAAATGTTTTGTATAAGATCCTAACAATAGAGATGGAGACGAAACGGCGAACAAAATGAAATTGAGTTATGATAATATTTGTCTTCTAAGGAATTTTTATGCATGGCTGCTATGGGTTTTTTCCGAGGCATAGTTGCGAAGGCATTATAGCGAGAATGACGAAGTTATTTTATCTCAACTTCTGACGGTCAGTATGAGAAGGCAAAAATAAAAACTCAGATTTAAAAATGTTGACCAAAGGAAGGAAAAGGAAAATAAGAAAATTTCAACAGCATTTCAGCCAACATGTGTAAATAAATTTCATCAAATTAGACTTGCGTTTCAATATTCTATTTGGCTAAGCAATACATGTGTGAGTTGCTAAACTTCACTGTGTATGTGTAAATAAAGGACGCTTTGCATCGGACTATGTTTGCAGCGGAAAGAAGAGAAAAAAATTCAACATCAAACTTTTACGTAATAATTTCACAAAGAGGATATTTTTCTATTAAAAAAAAAGAAAGAGTCAAAATTGAAAACTTTTCCTAATTTTATTTCAAATACATATGTGTCCAAAGTAGACATGTGCTCGATTATATTTGACTAAACTTAGAGAAAATACCGGCAACAACTGTAACGACAAGAGTAAACACATTTAAATTGGGAGAAAACATTTAATTTAAGATAACCTTGTGTTTTGTTATTTCATTCTATAGCTGATTTTGAAAATCCGAAATTTTGCTTCAATTATTGCGGTATCGCAACCTTCAGTCATATATGTTGATTGCGTGTGAGTGTTGATTTCCCTATTGTATCCTCGCTTATAGCAAGTTGCGTAATGGGTTTATAAATTTGTAAGAAAAGCAAATAAGCCAACCATGTGCCTTTTGAGGTAAATGAATGCTACTCATCCCCACTAACTATTTAAAATTTCAAATTATTTTGACCGGTTGACCGTGATGATGTTCGCGATGACCTTTAAACAAAATTATTTGCTCCAAAATATTTATACTGGATCAATATATCTTATGTTACAGTTCTTTGTCCATTTTCGACCTAGTTGTAGAGAAATCGAGCGAATTTTTCCCTGCGTTTTCCGAAGGCGTTAGGAAATATACGTACCGACTTTCGAGTTTAATACCCGTTATAATTGGCTAAGTTCTACGTTTGTTTTGAAGAATAATGGTCATATGCAAACCCTATCTCCGGTGATACCGCCCTCTAACGTCACTGGTAGCTTGCATTTGGGTCATGGTTTAACTA